CCCCACCACACACCCCACCATCCTCACGCGCCCCACACCCAACACATGCACACCCCACCACACTTATACCCTCACACCCCACCACAAACAGCCACACCCCACCATACACACCCACACCCCCACCACACACACACCCCATCATACACACCCACACTCCATCATACACATACACAAACCCCACCCCCCCATACTCTACCATATACCCCCAATATACAAGACTAAGAATTTATTTTGAGTTATTATGTAATCACCTCTGTATACAGTATGTAAACACAAATTATGACAAAAAAAATTTTGTAATAAAATTAAAATATGTTATAGTAGGTGTTAGACATTTAGTGTAGGATGTTTTTTTTCCTGGTTCTAAGATGGCAACCCCCTCCCCTCCCAAAAGGAGTATTTTGAGCGGGGGGAAGGAGGGGACAAGGGGAGAGATCTCTGGTGGCAAAGGTCAGGGGTTAGGGGTGGGACTTCCAGTCCCAAGATGGCGACAAGGGGCAGGGCTACCCATGTAGTCCTTGACAGCTCGCCAAAACTTGTTCAGTGGCCCTCCACCCAAAATAATTGCCCACCCCGGTCTTAGGACATAGACAGGAAAGGTTCTTTGGGTAAATATCTTTTATTAGACCAACTTTTTGGGTGATATCTTTTTGGGTGATATCTTTTATTAGACCAACTAAATGCAGGTACTCCTCACTTAACGTTGTCCCAGTTAATGTTGTTTCATTATTATGTCACTGATCTATTACAGAACATAGTCGTTTAAAGACACGCAATGTTCAGTTATAACGTTGCGTGGCTGCAGCCTGCTAGTAGGTGACCACTGTGACGTAACTGGATTTGCTTAACATTGTTTCGCTTAAAGTTGCATTTATCAAGAACATAACTACGACATTAAGTGAAGAGCAGCTGTAGCTGGAAATGTTTTTCTTTGCAAGCTTTTGGGTACAAACACCCTTCTGCCCAAAGAACCTTGTCTGTACATTATTTAAAGCTTTCTTATAAATTACCTTTATGTTCTAATCCATAGTTCTTCTGTTGCTCTTCTAGTTGCTTAGTTTGCCTGCAAATGTGGCACCTAAAAGATGAAAAAATGTTTGTTTTTCTAACTAGTAAATTATTTATTACATATTTAGAAAATGTGAGATTTACCTCAAGCCAACAATCATAATTCCTTTTGGCTGAGAGAACAGATGCTAATCATTAAGAACTGACAAGTGTTGCAATAAATTCTGTATCTTCAGTTTACACTAAACAGATCTGTGCAAGAAACAGCTGGCTCATAAAAGGGACACACACACTCTCTAAGGCAGTGGTATTCAGTAGCACATGTGCACACATACACAGGTTGTCAGCCTTTTGAGACTTGAAGCATCCTTCAGAAAATACTGGTTCTTCATTTTCAGTCTTTTTTGACTACTCCAAAATAACAGAACAGACTTTCTGTTGCAAAGAACTCAGAAATTTCACAACTACAGGTTTCTATTTGAAATCTCTAGGTTTATCTTGTGAATCATACTTATATGTTTAACAGTGCTAACACTGTGTGGCACCCTTTAACACCCTTGAAAGGATCTCAAGGCATCCCAAGGTGCTCTAGTATTGTGGTTGAGAATCACTGCACTAGTTTATTTTACTCAATTAAACTACCAAAAAATGACATTACAATTGTTTGGTTTCGCCTAGGGAGCACAAACTGAAGTCATCCCATGAGATCTGTAATGAATACCTAGATTTCTAGAGTTCAGACAACATAACAGGGCTGCAAACATGCATGAATGTATTCCTCCAAGCCCCAGATCTAAGCATATCATTGCCCCATTCCTTCAGCTGGATTCACCCTGATGGAAATATGCACTCATATGGAACCTCCTTTATTTTATAGCAATTCTGTGAAGAATCAGGATCTGTCCCTCTGACGCTAACCATAAAAACCTGGCTAATACTTATTCTGTTGGGAAAGCCAAATTAGCAGTAGTGCCAGAAGGGAGGAAGAGTTTGAACTTCATGTCAGAAAACTTTTCATTCCTGTCAGTTAGTTGGAAACTATCATTTAACTTTTACAAGGTTGTTTAATTGTTATAACTGATTTCATAACACTCTACTAGCTAAGCTTAAAAGATCCAAGTCTCTTACCTCAGAACCAGATTTATAAACCTATACAGAGGTCAGCTGCTAGAAATGGACAGAGCCACAATAAACAAGAATGATTTATCATATAATATAATTAGGAGCATTAGTGCTGAACAGCATGGTCAGTCGCACGCATTATTTAACTGTATGCTCATTGACAGAGACAGAACAATGTTGGAGTCCAATTATTCAAAAAGTTATTGAACAAAATTAAATCAGCAAATAAATAAAATGACACCAGTGATTATATTACAGGCCCAATCTGCTACTAATTATGTATAGTGTGTGTTTTGTTATTTATTTCAGTAGGAGCAGAATATAGAATTTAGGTCCTAATCTTGTAAAGACTTAATAAAAAATCAGTCTCCTGGCCTCCAAAGTCATCTTGTAATACTTGAAAAGATGGTGAACTCCTATAAACAGAACCACAAACAGGAGTAACATTATTTTCATACTCAAGACATTGCAGTCCTGGAACCTTAGGGTATCTTTACAAGTGCTTGGGTGGGAGGAGTGGGGGGAGGAAAAAGGGGGAAAGGTGTCTTCAATTAAGAGGGGCTCTCAGAAGATGCTCCAATTAAAGCACCCACAGTATCTCGTGTATTCAGCATCCTGTGCTTCAAAATGGTGGCTGGGGCACTTTAAACTAATGCTCATCAAGTAAGCTTTAGTTAAAGTGCCCCTGCTGCCATTCTGGAGTGCATGGATGCTGAATACATGAGACGCCAAGGCTGCTGGGGTGTGCTAATTAGCATGCTCCAGCAGACTTAATTGACTGTGGTCCAGTGCACTGTACAGCAAAAGCTTTGTTATCCAGCACCCATGGGGAATAGGGGTGCTGGATAACCAAATATGCCGGTTATCTGAGAGGACCAAACAGGCATCTTTGCCTGTTCGGGCCGCTGCCTCTTCCGCCGCATTGGGTGCGCCACTGCCGCTCCTGCCGCGTCACAGCCCCTCCCACTGCATCAGTGTGCCAGGGGACTGGGAGGGGGCCCCGCACAGGCTGCTATGCCCCAGGCCGTGGGAGCTTGACAGTGCAGGCTGCTTTGCCCCGGGCTGTGGGGGTTTGGTGAAACCAGAAGTGCTATGGTGGGCACTTCCAGTTTCGCTTTTACCTTACAAGGCGGCATGCTGTTTAATAGATCATGCTAGTTTGTAAGGTACCAGGTAATGCAGCTTTTCCTGTAAATACAGTGCATCAGAGCAATTGGTTAAGGACATCTGTCATCTCAAAGCAGGAAAGGAAAAAAACATGGAAAAATCTTAAGTCTACAAGCTACAGGAATAATTAGTTATGGTGAAAATATGTCACTATCTCTCTGCTGGCAAGATGACTGATGTTACCAGACTAAAATGAAACAGTTAAGAAAAGCTGCTTCTTTAAAAAAAATCTTGTTTGGCTGAAAATGTCTAACAAATACAATTATTTCCTTCGTTAAAGCCATCAGACTTTTGAACCTGCCATTTGTTAGTGGTTACACAACATGTTCCCTTGAGCATCTCATTGTAATTGAGCACTATGTTATTTTATTTTGTTTCATTTAATAAGGTGGAATACAATGTGTCAGACTGTCAGTAGGTACATTTTTGTAATGCATGTAATAATAAAAGATAAAGGCAAGCCAGTTCTGGGGTTGTTTCGTGTATTTTTTTCCATCTACTTACCTAGTAAAATCAAGTCTTTTATTTGATAACCAGTGAACATCACTTCTTTTACAAACCTCATCTCTTCTTGAGCATGTTTTGGATATTGAAAAAACAAAATTGCTCTTTTACAAAACAAATAAATCTTGTATTGTGTATCCCTTTTATTTGTTAAGTCATGCAGAAAATGAAAATGAGTACTTTATCAAAGTACAGTAAGTTTCATTTTTGAGCCCTTTCAAACAGTGTGTCACATATACACAGATAAATATGAGCTTACCCTGTTCTACAGCTTTCTTTATCTCTTGGAGATCCCACTGTACCTTTTGCCAGTTGAAAAGAAACTGTTCCCTCATAGTATTGATGAGAGAGAAATGTCTTGAAACCTTAAAAAAAAGCATTCAATAGCTTTTAGTCATTTGAAGCTTCCATTGCATCCAACCCTTTGTTGCTTCTCTGTTTCCTTCTTTTGGAATTGCAAGAATAATTCTTCTCTCTCCACAGCTGTTTGTTATTCTGTATCTTTTAGACTAGGTGAGGGGTAAAATATGTTTCCCCTTCACCTGTCTTCTGTGTCTTTACTTGAATAATAAAAACATAGGTGGAGGGTCTTAAAGCCAGCTACAGGATTTAGATACAGAACTGTCACGTATTTCAGCAGGCCTGAATCGAGAGCTGTTAATGCCACCCCTCCGCCATTATCAAGTGCCACAAGAGACAAGATTATCTTTAAGAAATCCAATGTGTTTGGTGCTACCATAGGAAATTTACAGACTGTAACTTTTGAGAAGCTTCGCGGAAGTATGCTTAGGTAATCTATAATCTTTAGATTTTCTAAAAGACGATACAGCAATTGCACAAGTTACCTGAAAAGTCATATCTCATTGGACCCATCCACCGCTTCTTTTCGCTGTCTTTTAATATATCTCCATAAAAACCATAACCCAACAGTGATACAGAGTATTTCAGAAATGTGTTGTTGTGATGTATAGAGGAGACATCCAAAGGCTGACAGTCACCTATTACGAATAGAAACTCCAATTTTACCAAAGTTTACACTGTTTCCAACTGCAAACTTAATATTAATTTTACACAGCAGACATTTTGTTTTGCTGATAGCAACCTTATAATACATAAAACAGGAAGAGAAACATTTTCAAAGCCTAACTAATCCATATATCAAGGCTGTTCTACTAGCAGACATGTGAGCTGTATTTGGCCTGTGAGGGATTAGCATTTGGTCTATGGGCTCCTGCCCAGGTGCCACAGCTCCTGTTTCTGCAGGAGTAGCTAGGGTCTTCAGGGCAGGGCAGCATAGTCGGATGTGGTGCCATAAGCTCGCTGCCCAGGCACTAAGGACACTGTGGGTTTGGAGAGGAGGGTTTCCTGCATGGCAGTTGTAGGGAGATGGGGATAAAGGACTTGCCACAGGGGTAGAGAGGCTCCCACAGTAGCAGGGCAGTGGTGGAGGGGACGGGTTGCACGGCTCATGCAGCAAAAGGGCTGCACATGGCAGGGGTACCAGGAGCATGTACAGCGTGCATCCTCTGTGACATGCAGCCCTCAGTGTGTGGCCCACAACCAGTGTCTCATGTGGCCCCCCACGGCTTTGAAATTGGACAGTCCTGTCATACATTACTGAAAAAGAAAAAGAAGACAAAAGAAGAACAATGGGGCATTGGAAAACACAGTAATAAATTGGTTACGTGAAAGCAGATCAAAGCCATATCTTTACAAACTCAGCAACGTGTTGAACTCTACCATTTTGTAAGCTGTTCAAATTATTTTGATTTGTTATATTTAATATTTATATTGTATCATGCCAGTCTTAAATATAAATGTTTACATAAATTGATGGTAATGTAAGTGATTTTGTAGCCAAGATGGTCCATAAATTATGTGAGAGGTAAGGTGATATATTTTATTGGACCAACTCTGTAGTAGTGATAAAGCTAAATAAGTGTTCAATGGCAGACATTCTTTGTCAGGTCTCTCTCCTAACCAAATGTATTTAGTAATTCGCTTACTTTGTAATTAATTTAGCGATTAATTTACTGTTTTAGACAAAATAGAGATATACTAATTTAGACAAAATATTATAGTACGTTGAGAGCACATTAGGGTCCTGATCCTTCAAAGATGTCCACTTCACTTTACACACAATGAACAGCACCATTAGTGTCAACATACTGCAGGACAAAATCTTAGAATTCCAGTGTTTAAGCACTCAAAAAAGCAGAACATACTAATATTAACATCACCTGTAAAATTCAGTCCTTTATATTTAAGCATTACACTGTAGTCTTCAAGTCATAAATCATTTCTCAAATACAACAGAGAAAACAGTTACTTGCCCTACCACATCTGCAGTTCTTCAAGACATTGCAGAGAGCATGGATCTTACCATAGGCTCTATGCAGCTGAAGTAGGAAGGAAGTAGCCTTGGGTAACGAGAGCAGCTTCCCACTGTTATTTAATTTGCTGCTCTTCATATTCCTTGCCAATGATGGCCCATTTTTCCACATACTAGCAATGCCTGCTATCATGACATTCCCCTCGGAATGGCAATAGTTTAGGTTGCCACCTCTTACCACACCTGACAGAATGAGGTGAAGTGATTCCTGGAGGGTAATTCTAGGATCGTCTTGATTTTGGCTGTTGAGACCTCCAGCAAACCTGTTGTCACTGGGATGCATAACAGAGGGCAGTTGTATAAAGGGCATGCTTCTGGGCAGGCATTCTGGCTGGCTACTGTAGGAATAGGTGGGCATCTTCTTTTTGTTTTAGAGAGTAGGTCAATCTTTCACTCCATCAACACAGTCTTAGAGTATGAAGGAAACTATCCTCTCCCACATCAGAAAATATTTGTGGCCAAATATAGTGGGAGACAAAAAGGGAAGCTGATGAATAAATCACCCTTCTACAGGGGTCCAGTTTTTTAAGGTCTATCATTTGGAGTCCCCTTGGTCAAACTGGTCTCTGTGTGGATCACAGATACCTCAAATGTCCCTGGTCCCAGATGCACATACAATTGTTTCCAGCTCTTAAGATGAACTTGACAGCATAGCCTCAGCAATTAACAGCAGGTTGTGCAAGGCTCTGCAGTTATTGATGGCTGGTTTTGGAGCTGAGGTGACAGTCTCCTCCAAGGAATTATTCCTTTTGGTAGAAAGAGGAACCAGAGTGTTTTCTGATCAAGTCCTCTCCCTTGCAATGGAGTCCCTTTGGTTCTGGTAAGGGAGTCCTGACGCCCATGGTGCCAGACCCTTTTTCTTTTTAAGATATGCTAAATAGCTCTTCTCCAAGACTTGTGGGAAAGTGGCACTCAACAGGACTACAGTAGTAAATCGTAACATATAATGAACAGGCTGTGGCTCATTTGTCCACTTCTGTTTATGTGTTACTGTCTGATTCAGGGCATGTTGGGATCCAGCCATAGGACTCCTCCAGTTTAATAGGAGATTCTTTCTAGTCTTTGAATGGGGAACTATGAGTGGCTTGAAGTCTCAGATGTTTCTTATAAAGTATATTGTGTCAGGGTTGTTGCAACTCCTGTGCCAATGAAAAGCACATGGCCAAGAAGAAATGTATTTCTTGCATGTGGAGTTGTTACATGTGGGGCTAGTTCCAAGGTGGTTCCTTGGAGGTGTATCTTGGTACAAAGAGGTACTTCAATATTGGGTCAGCTCTCTGTATTGACACTGGTGACAGTATTGGTGTCTCTAGTGCCTTCTTCATAGTTTATGTCTTGCTCTCATCTCTCAATGCTGGAGAGTCTAAAAGACTTCCTTTTTGTAGAAACTTCAAGATTTACTTAAGGATAAGTTTGCTAAGCACTCTGAACTGCACTTGCACTTGATGTAATGTGTCACTCAGCACATTAAGGGCACATCCAGACAAGCGTGCACATGAGGGGCATGTTTCCCATGGGAGAAATAGCAGCAGCACATTGACCCACTGCTCTGTCACATTTGTGCCACTGCTTTTTGTTCCACACAATTGACCTGGGTGGGGTAGGAGAGGCTGAGGCCAGCACCTGTGCTGGCCCCAGCAGCCTTACTTAGGGTCCCGGGGAGCTCCTGGGGCAGCAGTGGGTCCCAGGGAGCTCCTGGGGCATCAGGTGCTCAGAGCATGGTTCTGGTTGGCCAGGCTCTGTTTCTGGTGATGCACTCTGCTGCCATGTGTGCTACGCTGCTTTTTAGTGGTGGTTTTTTTGACACTGGGATCTCCCTGTGTCAAATTTTGGCACCACGCTGTGAATTAGCAGCGCGGTGAATGGGTGCATGTGTGCTGTGTGTGGTCTGCAGCGCCTTTACCTACAGGAAGTAAATATGAGCTCCTATCCTATATATTTGAACTATATTATTAGATATGTAAAAAAAGCTGACAGAGAAATGAGTGATTCCTGAATATTCTAATGAACTCGACAGCAAGGTAGTGAAATGTGAGGCAAATACCTACCTACAATAATGTGTAATGCTGATGTTTCTGGATCAACGATGCCCACTGTTGCATAGCATATACAATCTGTGGAACCTGTAAAATGAATATGGTTTTCATTTTCCATCTTTTAATAATGACAAAAATAGTCCTTTTAATGGTGCAGATAAAAATGCTATATCCTATCACTTAAATTTATTCCCTTATTTAACATGGACAAATACAACGATGTCAGAGCAGGGCCCTATAATCTAGTCCACTGTGCTGCCAGTGGGTCTTGGCTCGGCTCTAAGAGCCACATGAAGCATATGCTGGCTCTGGCCCTGACCCCATGAGCCACACATGGTATATGTCCCAGTCTGGCCCCATATGCTACATGTGGCGTGCATGCCCCCTTCAGTCTCACATTCCGCACATAGTTGGGGCTTGCACTGCAGGCAGCTCCTGCACCAGACTGGCTCGGTATGCTGGATCCAGCCTGAAGGGCCAGATGAGTTTGATACCCCTGGACAAACAGAATAGAACCAAACAACAGTAGGATATGAACATTTAATTATGATGCTTAAAATCGGAACACTAATTTTGTCTGACAATAAGCTTTACCCCTCCCTGCACAAAGTCTAAGCACTTGCATTTTATACAATGTTGAAAGCAGGAACTGGGGAAGTGTAGTCAGATTTTTCCTCAAAGAAAAAATTTCAAGATTGCACTAAAGGCTTTCCTACTCTATGGATACACATGGGGAAAAATGGTGACTCATTCACTCTGGCAGGCAATCTTGAAGGATGCACAGAGGTATTGTTTAGTCAGTCACAAATACATTAACTACTATTATTCATTGCAGTCAGCTTTGCTTAAATTTCTTATTTTTGTTTGAGGAGCAAGCGGACAGGTATTTACAAAAAATGTGCAATAAAGATAACACACTTGGGTTACTTATACTTGTACTCATATGATCAATCAGTTCTGTTTAGAGCATTCCTTTAGTCTTATTAATCTTTTCTCTGAATAAAAATGCCTTTTCTTTTGCACCAACTGTTATGACAATGTAAAATTACTTCCATACAGACAGTTTAACTAGTCAATAACTCTACACCTGCATTGTAAAAATGTCTGCAACAAAGTGAAACACTAAAATCTCAGTGGTACCAATTTAGCAGATATGCTGGAATATTGCAAAGATGCAGGTTTATTTATTAGGAAAATATCTTTGCTTGGAAGAGCAGTTTTAGATATATTTAACATTCCAAAATAGAACTGTTGAGAACAAAATGTTGCTCTATACAGATCAGAGAAAATTATTTATATTCCACATTCCTCTCTACAGGAGCTTGAAAAAGAGGGGAATTCTAGTATCATACTAACATATACAGATGCAAGTAGAACTGAATAGAAGAGTAACTGCAAGACAGAAAATGACTCTAGTTTATTTTCAGTCTTTCAATTAATGTAATATAAAATGTATACATTTTATTTTTTTTCAATTTCAATCATCTAAGGGTTGAGCTGTAATACAGCGAACAAAGATCTAATTGAAAAAAGCAACATAACAGCATCCCTTAAATTTTCAGCAATTTAGGGTACCTTTGTGTGTAACATATGGTTATTTACAAATCCACACTAGTATGTTTAGAATTAAAAGATACAAATGTAAAATAATAGAAAAGATACATTAAATGAAATGGATATTACATCTAGTGCTTCAAATGGATTGCAGGATTAATTTATAACCATAACTATGAATCAACACCCCAGATTAGATTATTAAAAATATGTATTTTGATTTTCTGCCTATAGATTTTATGCTTTTAATTTGAGCATAAAAATATAATCTTATGCTCAAATTATCTAGAACAAAACAGTGCTTTAGATAATATCTAGCACAAAACAGTGATTCAGAAGGCACTGGTACTTCTCATGTACTAATTAACTCCATTAATGAGAAGGAAATTGCCAGGAACAGAGTGAAATCCAAAAAGTCCCACTTCAGGTGCTTAAATCCAAAACTGCAGTTTTGAAAATCCCCACCTTACTTCCCACCAAACCCTGAAGTCCTGAGTTCATGAATACATCATTTGCTTCCCACCTGAAAGTTCTGTTTTTTTACTTGTATAATAGCATCTCAGTTTTAACAGGACTCAACAGCATTTTGTCTCTACTAAAGTACAAGCTTGACTGTAATCCCAAAGAAATACCCTTTCCTCTGCTCAAGGTCCCCTGATGGATTTGATGTGGTAGGCATTCTCTAAGGCATTTATTCAGGATAAGGAATCACACAAAATGCATGGGCAACTAAAATTTTCTTTCAAAATGCAGCCAGAGGACAAGATGGTTGTGGCGTCCATTTATATAATGGTCTAGTGACTAAAGCACTTGCCCAAGACATAGGAGACTCAAATTCAGTTTCCTTCCTGCTCTGAGGAATTAAAATCCACATCTTCTAAGGGCATGCTCCAATCATTAATCTATTAACTAGGTTGGATAGCAGCACGTTCCATCCCTTCCTATTGAAGCAATGCCATTGTCCAACAAAGAATACAAGATCTGCTGAGATAAAAAGCAAGTGAGAGAATGACTCTGTAGTCCACTGGTTAGGAAATTTATCTGGGAGTCTTGCAGGACTGGGCCAACTCACCAGAACTGAGAACTTCCACCTCTCAGGTTAGTCACTGTCCTTCCAACCCAATGAATTTTGAACTCGTGGCTTCTTGGTGTCCACAGGAAAGTTGGAAACTACCCACAACAGCCTAGAGAAGTGGTTTTGAACCTTCTTGGACTCAAGGCACCTGCTGGATAATGCCAGCTCTTAGCTTTTGTTTTTTGACTATGGAAAAGTAATAAGAGCAATTCTTCTGTTGCAAAAAGCTCACAAGAAGCACAATAGGTCAGAATATTTTTGACACTTTTGATTCCCCTTTGAAATTTCTGGATTTATTTTGTGAGTTGTGTTGGTATTTGCACACCTAGGAGTGCTAATATTGTGTAGCACCCATGACACCCTTTAAAGGATCTTGTTGTACTGCAGTTAAGAATCACTGGTGTAAAGTCTGCTGATTAGGCAATCTTCTCAGAGACGGGTTTGAATTTCAGAGTCTCCCACTTCTTAACCAAGTGCTCTAATTACTAGGCTAGCTTATAAAAGGAGGTGCCATTAGCACTATATCCTCATCCAGTCATATTTTAAGACTCTACCATCCTCAGCTCTTGCAGAGAAAGCTTGCAAGTGCCATTTTCAGAGCTGTGGATCCAAAGTGTTCAGATGTACCTCCCATGCAGCCCCAAGCTGGATATCTAGGTTACAAAGGGAGGGACTCAGGATCTGCCGCTGTGCTCATCATGACCTACTGCCAGCTCTAGGCAGCTCCCTGCTTAGCATCCTGGAGTTTTTACATTCCATTCTGTGCAGAGGCACTTACCACACCAGACATTACATAAGAAGCCTACATGCCTAACAGGTGGCTCTGGATTAACACCCAGGGGACTGAGCATCTACAATTAGGTGTCAAAATACTTAAGGCCATTGTTACTATACCTAATACACCTATGTGAGGTGTTCCTTCAAGCTTTATTCTAGCAATTTGAAGAATGCCATTTAGTCCACCTGCCTACTTTCAGATATACCATAAGCATCCTGGATTGTAAATACCAGTTATGAACAGAATGCTCAACTTGCATGCCCACTTTACATGATAAGAAATAGGTGGAGAAATGTATTGACTTCAATCTAGTGCTTGTGTTTTATTTTCACTTCCTTTCACTTCAAAAGTATGGCATTGTTGAACAAGAAAAGTCATTCTCTGTATGGCATAGTCCCTGTTATCTCCCCTACCAAAGACTGGAAGAAAGTTCCATACCCTGTTGAACATTTAGCAGAAGTCAGCTACAAAACTTGGAAAACTGAGGTTTGTACGACAACAGCATAATTTCACATAATTCAAGGCATTTATTTAAAAATAAAAATCAATAGGGCATGTGTTAGATTAAACTGGTTTACTGACAGATCTCAGAAACCTAGTTAATGAGAAGAAACCACAGAGCCAAGCTGTTCTTAAGGTGTTTGCCTAGGTATCTTCTCTTGGTCCAAAACTATTTAATCCAGATAATCAAATCTTTGCTGCTAACTGGTTTTCAAGTGATGAATATTGCTAGGATAGTAGGTATGAGGAAATGTTTCTATTAGGAGTAATATGACTGGCCTAGCTCAAACATTACATTCCTTCCAACTGTGTTTTAATACAGCCAAATGCGGTGCAATTCATTGTGGAACCAAGAATGTAGGTTGTACCCAGCTGTTTTGGTAAGCAGTAGCTTAGGAGAAGCAAGGATCCCTGCAGGGTTGTAGGGTTGGAAGGGATATAAAGGACCATCTGACCCAAGTCCCTTCATGAAGGCTCTTCCTAAATTATCTTTATCCAATGCTTGTCCACTTTTTGCTTGAAAGCCTCCAATGAAGGAGACCCACAACTTCCCTGTAGACATGCAGGGAGGCTGCTCTGATGCACTGTAATTACAGCACGTCAAAACAGACTTGGTTAATTGAATCTGCTGGAGCATGCTAATTAGTGCACTCCAGCAGTCTCCACGTTTCATGCATCAGCATCCCCATGCTTCCAAATGGTAGCGGGGGCGCTTAAACTAAAGCTCTTGGAGCTGCTCAAATGAAAATGCCCCCTCTTCAATCCCCAAGCATGTGTAAACATGCCCTGTATTCCACTACCACACTGTTTTAATAGTAAGGAAGTTCTGATACTTAACCTAAATCATCTCTACTATAATTGGAAGCCTTTGTTCTGCCTCCTGCAGCAAAGAACAGTTATAAACTACCTCAGTTCAATGCTGTGGCAAAAAGAAAGAGAGAAGTATGGAAGAAGGAATTACACTAGAAACAAGAAAGGGATCTTGCTACTGTATACAGTAATAGTATTACTACAACAAAAAGACAGCAGCCAGGTCTGATGACCTTATTTCCAGGGCATGGAAATAATACAGTTGAGAGGAACATCACATAATGATCCAGGGGCTTAAAAGCAAGCTTTACTACCAGACCCAAAGAGCTCAACTTACGCAGCTTATCTAGAAGAGATCACTTGGCTACTGCATATAGGTACCTAACATTGTTTTTCCCATACCCAAGACCTTTAATCTTGCTAAAAAAAGCAAAAAGATAGAAGCTGAAGTCAGAGAAATCCAACCTTAGCCAGTTACCTGCCAGGATCCTGAAGGAATTTATTTTATTTCCTTTTTTTTAAAAAAACCTAATGCTTAAATAACTAGATGTTTTGTTTGTTTTTTTGCCTTCCTTTTAAGTATCTGAGCTTGGTCACAGCAAAAAGGTAGGATGATAGCTATGTGAACTAAAGCTTTAAGGTGACACAGCAAGTCATTTTTCTAGATGTCTGGCTGATGAGTCTTGTCCCCACGCTCAGATTCTTTGGAAGTACATTTTTCTCAAGGATAGGCAAGGATCACCCACCTACCACAAAAATCTTATGAACATGTCTTCCCTGAGCAACTTTCTGTCATTGCAGGTACCATAGACTGTGGTGGCACTTTGCTCTCTCCTATTCTTTTCCTGAGTCAATTAGTTTAGCCTGAGGACTGAAATACTTTAGTGTAAAGTTTTTAGACTTATTATGGAAATTGGTAGGTGATACTTAATGGCATATATCATATGATATACAGAAAGTTGGACAAGACAATCTGAGATTCCCATCTGGCCTTAAAAATTATGAAAAATACTATTGCTCTCTGGATACAGCTCTACTTCAGGGGAAAAAAAATCACCACATTTGCTTTTCTTCCAGTCTGCTGGATGACACTTAAGAGAAAGTAATCTTATTGTCCAAAATGGACTGCAGAGGAGTAAAAATGGATCAAAGTAAAAACCTTTTATCAAGTTGTTACTATTTTACAGTGAACTAGACTTAGAGTGTTGTGATAGACAAGCACATATTGATTCATGGGGTCAGATTTGTAGGATAACTGCAGTTAATTAATATGGAAATTCAGCAGCCAGGGCAGCAGTCTAAACAGTAGGCTTTGTTCATGCTAGTAAATGCGAAAGTTTTTATATTGATGTATTCCTTAAATAATGAAGTATAATTGGTGATCTTTTAACCAAAGGACATATCAAAGAAATATGATAGTTGTGAAAACAAATGAGCGAGTGGTCAGATGTCAACATATGCTTATTCACTAATTATATAAAATTGTTCACTGTTCATAATATACTACTGATTAACATCTTAAACAGCAGTTTTGATTTTTAATGGTGTTTAAAAAAATAATTTCCTTAAAAGCCATGTGGGTTAAAAGTACTTGATGTCTAAGATCCTTTTACTAGCCATGTAATGGACAGGTATAATAAATACAAAAATGGTACAAACATGCAAAGTAAGTTTTTGGGAGAAAAGCTTCCCATAAGAACAGAGTTAATTAAGTACAAATTTTCAGCTAAAATAGTTTCCTTCTACAACTCATATTTTCTAGTCCTAAATTATTTCAGCATCAACTGAAGCTAATTCTGAATTCGCCGAGACAACTTCTATTATTAGTAAATGCACGTGTAGACATGCCCAGTTATGCTGGCTTAAATTGACTCTGCAGGAAGTGGGAATAGGCCAGTGTCTACATGTGCAGGTGTTAAAGTGCATTAACACTGTGTGGAATGACTTGGGACTCAAGTTAGTCCCAAATCAGTCCACATACACAGTGTAACTGCACAGTAAGGAGTCTACACATGCATTACTGTGCAGTAACTAATCAGGTGTAAACCTGATACCTGCATGATGCAGTTATCAAATGTATGCTCAAGTCAGTGTAAGTCACCATATTTACTGCGTAGTACAGGCGTGCACGTGCAGACGTGCGCCCATACTGTGCAGTCATTTTAGTTATGGTGCAGTAAATGCACGCATGTAGATATGCCCACTGGGAAGCCTGCACAAAATTTGGTACGATTTAATACTGTTTTCATTCTGTCCCCAAACTGGATGGAACATACATTACTTCAGTATGTTAATTCTCATTTGAAGCATTTGCAACACATAACTTAAATCTTGTGTCATGCCGGACATGAAGTATTTGAAAATCCAAAAACAGCTAACAGTCTCTCCATAGCTGCCCCTAAGATACATAAAAAGAGGCAGAAAATGTGCTGTAACCAAATGGAGAACTGTTCAGTATGAAAGTCAATATTATTGTCTGTATGTCAGAGAAGTCCTAGTGGTGTTGTAGCCATATTGGTCCATAAATGTGAGAAAAATAAGGCTTTTTGGTGGTATCTTTGACTGTACCAACCATATGATTGGTAGAGATGTTCATGTCAGAAAGCTTGGGAGAGCATATAACATCTTTCCCAACCGTACAGTTGTTCCAATTAAAGACTTTAAAAAATCCTTGCTTCTTTCAAAGAAGTTAACAGCTATGTTCATGTTTCAATATGACAGCATAAGATAATGCTGTGTGCATAGCTGCTCCCTAGTAGGTGAGCTACAGAAACTCTAATCAGGTAAAGTACCACTGTCAGTGGCTTCACCAAGGGCTGTAGAGAATTCTAGCAACCTTTCCCAAAGTTTGATAGGATGTATCTGGCATCTGGCTTTCAGCATGCAGGAGAGCCTCAAAATGAGAGGTGAAAGATTTGTACATCAAATTGATTAGTCAAAACATCAGGGAGATATATATACTCTGCATCTATTTCCTTCTTTTGTATGGGGGGTAGGGAGGAAAGGAGAAGCTAAGAAATAGCTTTACACTTAAAAAAAGCCCAACACACACACTTTCCCAAATGTATGCAAGAAAGTATGTTCATTTGAGGGTATTCTTCAGAAGTTATTAAAAAAACAAACAAACAACCCTTAGGTTTAAACATGTTAATTAAATGTTTTCCAGAATCACTATCCAGAGACAAAATTAAAAATCTCTGAAAATATATGTTATGTGATTATCCGCATGAATTACAGCTTTACAAGTAATACATGACTAGTGTATGTAATATATATTCATACAGCAGATCACTTGGACTATACAGCAGACAACAAAGAAAACAACAGCTCTCTCATCTATGACAAAGAGACTATAAAGGATATAGCACAAGGAAGTGATCCAAGACATTAAGTACTGTTTGATGTAAGTCAAGATATTTTTACCGATACTAACCTAAAATATACAGCTAACTTCAAATGGTGATAAATCAATCCATTTATATCAGGAAGGTAAAGGGGTAATCAACTTCTTTCTAAAGTCTTACTTCCTCCACTTTTGAAAGAGGCATAACTGTAGTGTTAAATGGCAGTTAACCATACCTTGTTTAGGTAGATTAGCATTTTCAAAGCTGAAAACTTAAACAGAAAAATACCTGATTCAAGTCAGTAGAAAGTTTCCCTAACCAAAAAAAGAAAGGAGGGGGAGAAATATATATATACATATATATTCATTCATTCAAGGAGAAATGTATTGTCAATGTACAATAAATAAGAATTTCAGAGATTTTACTTTTAAATGGCACCAAGTGATTTGTGTCTCATAACCATTCTTTAATTCTGTTTCATAAATGATCAGTCCAAGTCAGTTTTGTGCCTTACCTGGACATTTGTTCCCACCTCCTGTCATTTTAATGCTATCCCCATTCATTACTAATACTGACTCCTGTACTAAAGCTAAAGTATCAGATCACTCTTTTGAGGGGACCCTTTGGGATCTTTACTTTTTTGCTATCTGGGCCATTAACTTTCAAGCACCACAGAAAGCAATCCTTTCAGATAACGTTTGTTGGTGTAACCAGTTTGTTACTTAGGGACTGAACTCCAAGGGAACAATTCTGATCGATACCAGTCACTGGCAAAAAGGCCTAAGAAGGTGACTGCAATAGGGAACTAGTATTGACTAGTGTTTTGAAGGCATACAGGAGAGTTAACAGAGGGTGTTTAACTACAAAACAAGGTCAAAGTGCACTTGAGTCTGGATCCTGTAGACTTATACATCAATGGTCTGGATTGTGATAGAAATTGCAAGAAAGGAGGTGTGAGTATTGCATGAGTGCACTGTTTGCAAGGAGTTTACAAATGACGACTCCAAATAAAGTACTACCTTTCCACTACATGTTGTGGGGTGGGGGTCAGCAACCCATGGCTTTTTAGCCATGTCTTCTACATTTGGCAACTGGGGGCTCTCCCTATACCACACTGCAGTCAACTGCCTGGGGCTCTGTCAGAGGGGAGCTCTGCCTGTGCCCTGCTGTGGCCAAGCAGCATAGACTCTAGTGAGGAGAGGGGGACCTTTTTCCATGAGCACATCACCTTAGTAGAAAGTTGTGGCAGTGGCTTGGACTTGAAGCCACCCACCTCCCTCGTCACTAGAAGACATTGCCAACCCTTGTCACAGGGAGTTTCGCATCAGAACAAAGTATGTAGTAGATGTGCTTCTAAAGAACAGACTTTATTCCCTGGTGCTTCCAAATAGATTGATGTGTTAGTATGGGTTTGTATCTCTCTCATTTGGTGGTGTTTTGGTGCTTGCCAGCACATTAAAGCAAGAAAGCACCTCTAGTAGCAAAACATCAGCATACTTAAATGTTGATTTCTCTTGATAAAAACCACTTGCAAAAACAGAGTGTAGTGTTATACTAGGTATACTGTGACACTAAACTTCTGTGGGCATCTTCATAGAGTATTACTATTCATACTGTTTAAGAGGTAGGCTTTGCTACAAAAAGCTAATAAAGGAATAAAATAAACTTAAAGTTAACCCTCTTGCAATCTTACCAGCAGGGATTATGCCAATCCTTATACTGCATTGGGCTAACGGCGTTTTGGGATTATTTTGATCTATGCCAGAATCCTTCTGTATTCTTCCAATTAGACCATGCATCACTTCACTGAACATGCCGTCCCCACCAACACAAACAATACTGCCAGAAAACACAAATTAGAGTGCATGCTAACAATCAATAAACAACACATTTAATGCTTTACTTAGAGCACATATAAACTTGTCAGAGAAAGTCACTTTTGTTTTCCTTAGCCTTTATTAGTCATAAATGTGGACATAGTCAACTCAAAATACTCAATTTAAAACACACAAAACAAAAAGCTACATTTTCAGGAAACAAACAGGCCCAGTCTCTTTCAACTAGCTTTTCAATTGTATTCCCCTCTTTTTAAAATTGCATTTCTGTCCCCTGGTGGTGCAAAAACACAGGCAAACATCAGTGGAAACTAACAATACAAGCAAAACACTGAAACAGGACTGTACACAGAATTGCCTAATGTACTTTATGAACAAACCAGAAATAAACTTCTCTTTCTAAACTTACCTTTTTTAAATCTTGTAAATTAAAATGTAGCTGCAGACAGAATGGTAACACTTAGGTTGACAGCGATAATTTAATATAGATATTACATACAATGGCCTCCAAAGCAAAAAGTCATATGCTTGCTTATGGCTGAGCCTTGATTTTGTTTTTTAATTTCTTTTGAATTTATTTCATAGGCATAATGCCACTTTTGCATGTTTGGCAATCTGTACAAAACAGACATGAATTGAGAATAGGCACTGTACAGGGCAGATCAGAATAAAATTCATTCTATCATTCGGTATACACAGGCCATTGTCCTGCTATGCTATATTTCATGTTATTTGTTAATTCATACATTTTAAATTCTGTCATTATCATTGTACTGCTTCATTGGCAAATTGATCCAACTCTTGGAATAGAGCAGAGAAACTGAGTCATGCTATAGACAAGTAACATTTATCCCATAAGAAACCTCTTTTGTTCCTAAACAGGGGGTCAGTCCTACAGATCAAAACAATGCTTGCTGTATATATAGGTCAAACAGCTTGTTTTTAAAAAGCAAGAGATAAATTCTTAAAGCTGAGCTTAATTATGCCTCATTAGAAGACAGTATAGCTAGTCACAAACTCCGTTAAAATATATTCTATGGCCAGTTAAATGCTTAAGTAATTCCTGTTTTGATTTAAAATCTGATCCCTGACATGGTGGATGGAAGGAATGGGTTTAGAATCAAAGTCAAAATTACTCAGCTCTTCAACAGCAGGTACAGAGTCAGCACTACATAAATGTTCTCTCTCTTCCAAAAGGTTAATCCTCATGGCCAGTTATAGTATCTAAGAGCTGAAATTCATCTCAGTAGTATTATTTTGACTCAAACTACATTGACTACATTGGTCAGAAAGCCAATGTAGAAAGAAATGAGTTTTAAGTGAAGTTTCCTCACTAGGGTTGCTACTACTTTTAAATGTTCCATGAACTGGCATCTCATGGCATTGTACATTTTGTAGCTATTTCAGCAGGTCAAGGAGAATGTTGTTGAGTAGTACAGATGTGACAAATACAGGAGAAGAGGGGTTTTCCAAAAGAGAAAGTTGTGAAGAAGAGAGATGAAGATCTACAGCAGCTACATATGTAGTGGGTATGTGGGTGGAACAAATGGATGTTGTGTAATGGATAGAAAACTTCATTGTATGCTGACAGGCACTGATAGTTCATTTCAGCATTATGATGGATGAGGACATCCTCAGTGATCCAGTCAGTGAAGAGAAAGCTACTCCTGTATTACTCTGGTGGATTATATGACTATACTGGTCTTCTGGAATAAGGGTAGTGGAAAGAACAAACAGGAATTCCATACAGTTCATTTAGATAACCATCCTCAAACATGTACCTGGAAGATTATGGGGAAAGCTTCAAGCACCCTGTATCCTGCCTCCAACCTGCAAGCCTTGTTTTTCCAAATCTGGGAGACAGGAGATCAAAACAAATACTAAACACTCAGTTACCAGTCTTCTCAAAACTGCTCTTATTGGAAACTACCTAAGGAAAGAAAAACAAAGACACTCCACAGATGTAGTCTTAAGTGAGGGCTTCCCAGACAGAGAGAACAATATGACTTGGCAAGACCAGGATTGGATATATGCTGTTTTACTGCTTTAAATCTAGTTTTCACTCTGATTCCTGCTCCACAGTGCTCCAGTTGTGGTATTACTGTTCAGGTAGCTGAGGGAGTTAATTGACTTAATGGCTCACTGTTCCTCGATCTACAGATGTTGTCTATTGTCTCTCCTTTTTAACGGTCTTGATGTTCTGCCAGCCAAGCTAACCTTCCTTAGAGCAATTTTGCCATCTTCTCGCCACTCCTGGTCTTTCTATTTCACAGCCTCTTTAGCACAAACTCTTTTCAAAATCATATATCCACTCATGAAGACCAGCCTTCAGCTTTAGTTATTCAGGAAAAGGAGAGTGAATCAGGTGAAGAGTGGGCTCTGTCCCTGCTCTATGCAACCATAACTCTGGAAAACAAACTTTCTTCATTCTACCTCTCAAAAAATAAGGTACATATTCTATTTTGGGGTGTGTTATATGCAAGAAAATATGGTACATATTATGTATTTACTGAATTACTGCAAGACACTGAGGAAAAAACACTATCCCCCTACATGCACATGGTTCAAGCTTTGCTCTGAGCTATAACAAATAAGTTTCACTTAAAATCTAGTGCTGTATCACATTTGAAAGTTTTAATGCTATTTAGCAATCATAGAGACAGATATCCCTCTGTAGACTTTCTGGGTGCCAACGATGTGGGGGGAAGGAAGGGGAGGAAAAATACAGTGCTTTACTAGAAGAGGAAGCACATCAGTTTGACCCAGCTTGCCCAACATCTGTATAGATTGCACACTGCACCCTATATTCAATTAGCTGTTAGATAAAAGTGCCAAAAAGCCCTGGTAAAGCATGAGATCTATACAGATATTGGATGAACCAGGTCAAACTGATGTGATGCTCTTCCGGGCATGTGCTGTGCTCAGTGAAAGGGCACACCAAGCTGAAAGTAGAGTGCTGCTTCCCCTGTCCCCCTGCCCCCATGTCTGTAAACAACCTTTCTTATTAAGACTCTGTAGGAAACCCTGGGGTTGGCTTGCCTAGAGGTTGATTCCAAGCCTCCTTAGGAGCTACTTTTTAGTCACTACTACTCTTTCTGTAAACACAATGGAGAAAAACTTAGGAGTAAGGATTTTTGGACATGAATTAGGAAAGAATTTTATAGTGTGCTATAAAAAGCTATAAAAAGCTAAATACAGCTTCCCTTTCCACAGGCATAAAAACTAGAACCCACAGCTACCTTACTAAAAAGGAAGCTGTGAGTTCAAGCCTATATTTTGGAGCTGAAGTAGCTAAACTACAGTAATTGAAAGCTAGCTTCAATCTTATGCATGAAGAGATGCAGTAAGTGGAATTCTGGTCAAGCAAAGTAGTGTCGTATGGCAGTTATTTTTTAGGGGAGATTTTCAAGAATGCCTACAATATTTAGGCTTTGTGCTCTAAATGACCTGGAACACTCAGCTTTTCTAGATTCAGAATTTTAAATGCCAAACATTTGAGAATATAACAAAGTCCTTCCATTCCCTGTACCCAGATTTAGGTCTCTCTCACCGTTTCTAGGTTTACTTAAGTTCATAGGAGACAAGCCTGTTTTGATAGCCTCTAGAGACCCTGTGTCCTGGATTAATTAAGGCTTTTGCAAAATATTTAAAAACCTCACAATCTGACCAGTTTAAAACACTACTTTTTAGTTTGATATGAAAAGTTAAGGAAGTCTCAAAAAAGAATCCTGCCAATATTACTACTCTTGGTAAAATTTTCCCACTTGAGACAGAAGTGTAAGTCTAGAGATGAACAGTTAAGGATGAAAGCAATTCCCTACTGCCACAATTCGTAATCACCTCATTTCCTCATTCAATGTATATCACACATCCAACTTTATATTCTCTGCTTCGAAAAGGTTTCCTACCCAGAGATCCATTTCCAAAGTATTGCAACACTGGCATTTCCTACTATATATTATAATTAACACACTGTGGGCACATCTACATGTGCGCTTCAGTGCATGGTAGACTATTTTGCTGTGTGTTAAACTATCATGTAAAAAACCATGACATTATGCTAATGAGCAGTAAAATAATCTACTGAGCATTGTCACTAAAAAAGCATGCATATGTGCTACTGCCCCACCTGAGGCAGATGGCTGCCTTGGCTCTAACTCTAGCTGCTGCTATCTGGAGTCAGGAGCCATTGAGTCAACAGCATCTGTGGTGGGTCCACAGCTGGTGACAGCGGAGGTCAGGAATCAAACAGGGGGAAACAAAGGAGTCAGGCTGCTTGCCTACCCCCTCCAACACTGCTTTCCCACCATGAATGACTGGTGCCTCCTGCAACTGGGGGGCACCAGGGCGGCGAGCAGGAACTGCCCTCAGTCGCCACCTGCACTGTCAGTGGGGACCACCCTCAGCCACGTTGGCAATGGGAGGTGGCAACTGCCCGGAGAAGCTGGCAGTGGCCAATCTCAGGGCAGGCACATGCTCCACTGTGCCCCCCCCATGTGTTGCCTATGCTTTCCCCATTGCTAGTCTCCCACAGCGGGAGGGGGTGAAGGGGAGCACAAATATAAGACAACCCTCCAATAATTAGATTCCACACACAGAACATTATAACAAATTTCTCATTTTCCTTGTATAGAATCAAAATTACTGGGTGTAGTTTTCAATTCAAAGTTGTCATGGTTTTAGGTAAATAAATTTAATAGTTTCTCAACTTTTTCAATATTTGGCTTTTAAAATGAAATATACAGATATGAAATATTAAACAGTAACCCAAGTCAACTGAAAACTCTTGATGCAAAATACTTAAGTATCCAAGCCTCCAGTGTTTAAGAACGTTTGTTTAGGGGAGATTAGGAGGCAAGTAGTAAGTCCAATTGTTGGATGAACAAATATATGTAAAATTGATTGAGCGTATGAAGTTCAGGCAAGTTTAAAAATAAATAAATTAATGTTAGACACTAAATTAGCACTTTAATTATTGCTTTTGAAATCTAAACTCACAAACTCTCTCAATCTAAGTTTACAACCAATTCACAAACTCTGCTTTTCCAATTATGTCGTTAAATATCAAAAGTGGTGAGCGGATTACTTGAATTCTAGAGGGGAAAAAATGTTATTAAACCTTATATTACATGTTTTGGGAAAAAAATACTAATATAAATAAAATCACTTACCCATCATATTTGTATATATTAACTTCAAATAAGTTATCTTTAGCATGGTTAGCATGTTCAGTTACTACAGAGAAAGATAAAAAAAATATTTATTCACTCAAGACTTCATATTAAGTTAAATTCCACAAACTTAAAATAATGAAATGAACATAGCGGCCAACCAAAACAGGACTACTGCAAAGTCTCTGCTTACCAAAGTAATTCACTTCAAAGGATTTTAAAGCAAGGAAAGAATTGAGAAATGCATGTACTACATAAGGAAATTATTAAACCTAATTTTTGTAAGTGTTTATTTAACTATCAATAAAAAAGCTTGCATTGTGAACCAGTATGTTAGTAACTATATCATCAGGATAAACAAAGGGTGTGATTTAAATTGCTTTACACACAAAGGCTAGGGACAGACATTACACATAAACCAGTTTAAGTGATCAGAAACTGGTTTAAACCTGTAACAGAACAGGCATTCAGTGCACATAAACCAATTTGAGATAAACCTAGTTGAATATAGTTATCAGACTTAACCAATTTGGCTCAAACTGGTTTATGCAATGTCTGTCCCAGACCTCTTGCTGGTTTAAATTAAATCAGACTCCCCCATCATCCCAGCATGCTCTCTGGGCAGGGCTCCACTTTGCTTCAGAGCAGAACTGGCTCTGCCCCTCTGCTCTCTAGCCAGTGCAGGGACAGGATGTGGTGAGACACGAGGTAGCATGGCCCTGTTAAGGCAAAGTGGGCAGGGAGGGGATTAATTCTTCCCTACTTCCTTTCCTCCCCCACTGCAGCCAGGATCTGCCTGTCAGCTGGGAAGCAGAGGGGAGGGGGCTGCAGCACTGGCCCCTAGGGCTGGCAGACCCTGGCTGCAGGGCAGAAGGGACCAGAAGGGACAAAGGGAGGAATTCACCCCTTTCCCTGCTCTCTTCACCTTAAAGCACCATGCCGGGGCGGTTGTTCCACAGGGTAGGGAGAGGGGGCTCTGTTCTGTACTGAGGGGTGGAACTCTTCTTCCTCTTCCTGCTCCCCCCAGGGTGGGGAAGGGGGACTCTGGAGGGTGGACTACTCCTCCTCCTGCCCCCCACCTCCCAGGGCTGGGAGGGGGGAGGGGCTTTATGCAAGGCCGCCAGGCCCTGAAGGGGGACTCTTCCCCTCCTCTTCACCCCATGCGGCTACAGCTGTTACAGCAACTCTCTGCACCCTGGCTGCATAGTGCCAGTGCCAATGCCAGTGCCAGAGCCAGGGAGGGGCTGCCAGCACAGAGCTCCCCCCTGCCCCGTCCCTTGGCAACAGGAGTGGGGGGAGGAGGAGGAGGATGGGGAAAGAGTACCCCCCCAGCATGGAGCAGAACCCCCTTCCCTGCCCCACGGGGGGGGGCTGAGGAAGAGGAAGAGAAGGAGGAGGAGGGAGGAGAAGGGGGAAAAGCCCCACCAATCACTGAATAGAGCCCCCCTCCACACCCCAGGGTGGTGAGAGAGGAGGGGGAAGAGTTTCCATCTGTGGTCAGGCAGCGCTGTGGGGATTGCTCCCAGCTGTCAGGGAGCTGCTGGGATGGGCAGAGCTCTTTCCTCCTCTTCCTCCCTCCACACCAGCAAAGGATCCCTCTTCCCCCACCCCAGTGGAAAGGTGTAGTGGGTGCACAGGGGTGCACATGCACCCCCTGAGAGCGCTGCTGCACCCCCTGACAGCCAGTGTTCCTGGGCGGGGGGGGGCGGGCAAGAGTGCTGGTGTCCCCCCGAGAGCGCCAGCGGGGGAATGGGGGTGCCAGGAGAAGCGGTCCCCCCGCGGTCAGTTGCGTTCACCCAGAAGTACCAGCAGTGAACTGCTGCCATTTGCAGGTTGGCAGCTGACCGTCTGCGGGGGGGCAAGTGCCCCCCCGACTCAGGAGGCACCAGTTGCCCATGCTCCACCCTCCAAACTCTGCAGGCCGAGGTGGGGGGGGGTTTAAACTCCTCAGTCTAATTTGGGCCTGCCAGAGCCTGACTACACCCCCCTCAGCTCAGCTCCCCCACTGGAAGGTAAGGGCTGGTCTAGTGTCCCCAGGCTTCTGGCCTGAGCTACTGCAGGGATGTGTTGAACATCTATCCACTTGCAAACCAGTTCACTCTCTGCAGGTTAGATTATCCTGCAAAGATTGAATCAATTCAGGCTTGGGCTTTTGGAATGTCTGTCCCTAGCCAAAGAGAAAAGAATAGGATGTTTCATAAAATAAAGACCTTTTACTGCTCAGAACTATCACAATTTACTAAACGTAGTAAGAATGTAATTTTTGTCATCCACAATTTGTGAACTTCAGTAATACAGATGCACTAGCTAACAATCATTTTTATTTAATTTCACAGATTTATTCATTGATAAAACTGTGTTCTTAAAAAAAAGATACATTTATGCTGAAAAAAGTAATAAGAGATTGAAGAACAACATTGGTTACTCACTAACAACATCAGTTGAGATAGAAGCTAGATTAAAGAGTGGAGCCACTTTTTGTTCATAGATCCTCTTCCCTTGCCGTTTTCCACCATATGGATTAATATATACAAGCAATTGCTTTGGCCTAGACTCTGTCATGAAGAAACCAAGAAATACAGTGGTAAGCAATTCTATATATAAAATAGGCATTTTTCATAATTAACAGTGTGAAATTCCTTATAAAAATATAAATATCTGTAAGAAGTTATACAAAAATAAAGGCAATGGGTATAAAAGATTTTTGTAACGTTACAGTAAGCAGATTAGACAAGTTCCTTATGGAGAAAAGCATGTGATTCATACTACTTTCATTATGTTTTGTATTATTCATAATGCGTTTCCACTAGATAAAATGAAAGTTAGTGGCACCAGAGCTTCAAACAAGATAAAACTAAGGTGGTGATCCAAAAAAGAAAAATGACTTTTCTTGAGTAGCCGTGTACACAGAAACTGAATGCTATCTGTAGGTGAGTTATATTAGATATCTCTCTGGATATAAGGTATTATTAGAATTCTAGAAAACATCGTAAGTAGCAGACAACTGAAATGCTCATCTGCCATAGGATAAAATGGTAAGAAAATGTTGTAAAGTTGTGTGTTGCACTTCAGGAATCTTTCCAATATATCTATCTCACTATAAAATAAATTTAAGTCCTCTTGGAAGAGTTTCTAACCATTTGACCTTGTCCCTTGGGGTGCTCTGGTGAACAGGTGTTCCCCCAAATCCTGATGTATAACCCTTATATACTTGGTGGCTCCCTATAAGGGGTGTACATCAGGATCTGGAGGAACGCCTGTTCACCAGAGCACCGCAAGGGACGACTAGGTCAAACAGTCACAAACTCCTCCAAGACCACTTCAGGCTGGACATAAGGAAGAACTTCTTTACCATCTGAGCCCCCAAGGCCTGGAACAGACTGCCTCCAGAGGTGATGCAATCACCTTCTCTGGACTCCTTTAAGAGACATTTAGACATTTATCTTGCTGGGATCCTTTGACCCCAGCTGACTTCCTGCCCCTGGGGCAGAGGGCTGGACTTGATCTTCCGAGGTCCCTTCCAGCCCTAATGTCTATGAATCTATGAAGTCTATTCAACCACAGTTTCATACTGCAATGGTAGAAGTTTGAGTTAGTGGATTCAATTGGGGAGTATGCATGTCTGGCAGGGAACACAATACAAAGAGGTATTCTAGTAGACCCCTCAAATGGGGTTTAGTAGATACAGAATAATGTTTCTGTAAAGTATGAGTAGAGTTCCATATTTTAACATAGTTGTTATAAATCATCCCTACTTTAAAAGAAAAATAAACTTTTACAGGAAACCTGATTGAGCTAGAAATAGAATTCTGACCTCACGATAGTCCTTGAACCACACAAGCATACATTCTTTTCTTGTAAAAACAGTTGATATCCTACAGCAGTGGTTGGGAACTTTTAAGCTGTGGGTCAGAACAACCCAACTCCAGCCTGACATGGCTGGCAGCACATCAGAAACCTGGGTTGGGGGTGGACAGCCATTTCTGCCAGCCCCCCAACCACCTCCCAGCTGCAGCACAGGGACAGCTGGAAGCAGCACAGCCCTGATACAGGTGCAGACAGAAGAACTGTGTTGGGGCCATTCAGCTTCCAGCTGTGTCTGCACTGCTGTTGCTTCTCCCTGCTGTACACTGGCCCTGGCCTAAAGGGATAGCACATTTTTTTTCTGTATAGATTCAGTTGGAATTATTTTTACTGGCTCATCTGTTTCAATAACCGAGACAGAAGTAGTTAAAAAAATTCCAATGAAAAAGATTATCTTCTTTTTTGAAAGAAAATAGCTTTATATTTTTAGCCACTCCAGATTTATTCCTCTTAGTGCTTCTACTGTAATTTGGAATGGCATAATTAGATATTTTATAGTGGTTGAATTCATTGGCCATGATCAAGCCTATGCTTGTTTCATTTCTCAGGTGCAGTTTCATCACAATGAAGCAGCAAGCCAGGGAACAATTGCTAAACAGTCTACCGAGATGCTGACTGTGCAGTCGTTACTTTGCAGTCATTTAGTACTTGTATAAACAAGTACTCAATACAAGTACTGGTATTACACCAGTACTAAATGACTGCACAGTAACCTGAGTTACTCCACAGTAGTGCCGACAAACACTTTTATGATGCTACTGCGCAGTAGCCTAATACTACTGCGCACTAACACTGTATTGCAGTTTTTGCCACGCGACGCTACTGTTTGGTAGTATTGGTCTACCACACAGTCAGCCTCTCATGGTACATACATGGCCAGTATGTGTTACATCTGAAACAGAAGTACTGCAGTTTCCTTAACTGAGAAGGAAAACTTATAGTTTCATAGTTTCTAGGGTCCAAAGGGACCTGAGCAGATCATCTAGTCCAACCCCCTGCCACAGCAGGAAAGAGTACTGGGGTCAAATGACCCCAGTAAGGTGGTCATCCAACCTCCTCTTAAAAACCCCCAGGGTGGGAGCCTGCACCGCCTCACTTGGAAGCTGGTTCCAGACCCTAGCCGCCCTGACCGTGAAGTAGCGCCTCCTGATGTCCAACTTAAACCTTCCCTCCGCCAGCTTGTGACCGTTGTTCCTGGTCACTCCTTGCGGCGCTCGGGGGAACAGGGACTCCCCCAGCGCCTGCTGATCCCCCCTAACCAGTTTATAACAGGCCACAAGATCCCCCCTCAGCCTTCTCTTTTGAA